TATTAACTACTCCCCCTTTTGTGTTACAAAACTTCTACCTTCACAGTTGTGACAATCACAATTAGTCATGATAACAATTGAGTCATAAGAATCTTATCCCCAACTCTTTTCACCAAACCCATCTAGACAATATGAGAACTATTCAGTAGGGATTCTACCTTCCCCTACACACTCTGAAACTAAACTCCCTCTTGAAAACTTGTAAGCCAGTCACTTCATGCCTCTATAGCCCCCCATTTTAGGTAGCCAATGTCTAAATTGCCCATCCCTATCAACCCTGTATATAGAGGTGATAGGATCAATCCTTGATGTGATGACTCCTTTCCTCTCAGTTGGTATTTTGAGCTACTACATCCATAAGTATAAGTCAAGTTCATCAAATTGTAGCAATTTACACTTGTTTCCTTTTTCAACATATTTTTTCTTCCTCTAGTCAAGTTCTGATCATCAAGCCATCGAAGGTAGGTCAAATGGGTACTATCTGCAAGTTTGGGCATTCTTATGCATCTCCTCTCACATCATATCAGCTGGAAACTTCACTCTTGTGTCTAATATGCTTAAAGACTGAAACTTGAAATTTATTTCACATTCCAAAGAAAAACATAAAATAAAATAATCCTTTAAATCAGTGAGTTAATAACATTAACTATCTAGAGGAAAAGAAAGATTCCTCAATGTAATATTGAGCACTTTCAGTTAAATTTTGAAAGCATACCTTCATCAATTGCTCAGGATTTTCTTGAAATTCAGTTGATAATTGTATCCTTAAATGCATATGATTATTAGAAACTGCTCCATAACTGAAGCCTAAAAATGAAAAATACCATTAACTTTAAATATTAGAGTAGGAAACATATTAAAATCTCAATCCCTTTCATCAACCTCTAATCTAATTTCTATCACAGTATATTCTGAATTAAAAAGAGTAACTATCAAAACAGAATAAAAATGAAAAATAAAGAAAAAGAGGAAACCTGTTATATTTGGAGTCCTGGTATGGTCCTGAGATATGAAGCACTAGACCACTGGTTGGTTTGAAATGCAGGGTCAGTGGTTCAAAACTTACCAGTTGCTCCTCGGAAACCCTATACAGGGTTGCTATGAGTCGGAACTGAC